AAAGAAGTTAAGTTGGGCGAACAAACGTTTTCGATTATTCCTCATCAGGGTAGTACCACAGTAAAAGGGGGGAGGGGGTAGAGTAAACACAAGTGTAAGCAACCAATTTGTAAAAATTGGGGGGAGTTGTTAAGGTACAAAAGTGTCTGATTCTAGTCATTATTTGGGGCCGATACTTAGTTCATGTCGCCCCGTCGTTCTTGTCATGCGTCCTGTTCGGTGGTGTCAGGACGCAATATGTCATGGTCTCGCAATGGCGTGGTAGGAAACGTGCGAGGCATTTTGAGTTGGTTTTCGGCCAGGGGAGCCTTAGTACTTATAGAAACGCTAACTAAACAATGACAGCCCATTCTACAGTAGACGCCGCGGCTCATTTCGACATGGGCGAAAGATTGATACTCTTTCGCTAATCGGTATTGCCTCAGGTTGTGATAATGATTATCGTGTAGTCTATTCTGAAGTTTATTCCGTCATGATAGGATGAGGGCTTTCTAACGAGCTTCGTTCTGACTACCAGCAAAAAGTATCTATTGTAAAAACAGGCTACTGAAGTAGTAATCATTTTTATCATTGATTTTGACTACCTTTATAAATTCAAATATATTTTATGGAATTGCACGAAACCATTATTTTTTGTGCTTGTTTTATGGCAAATTACGTCTTCTTTAAATTTTATGCTCAAAGACGGGGTAGCTTTCGGTTATAAAAAGTTGCTAATTTTGAGCTTTTTTACAATTGTGAGGTGTTTATTCATAATACATCGTATTCGTCAATTTATTAATGCTGCCTTTACTGCATAAAATATGTTGCACATCTATTTCAATATTTTACGACAACTATGTGACTTCTTCCTCAAACAGAAGCGAAACCGTACTTTTCCTTAAACAGAATGTACACAGTGCGCAGTGTTTAAACCTTCAATTGGAGTGTAGCAGTCACTAGGTTAGAAAATTATTCGGCTATTGAGCAACTCTTTTATGACCGAAAGATACCCTTTCTTTGAATCTAAAATTTAAAGAAGGCGTAATTTTCTATCAAAAAAGTACGAGAAATAATTTTTTCGTGCATGTTTTATCATAAGATATATTTGAATTTATAAAGGTAGTCAAAATCAATGATAAAAATGCATACTA